GGCGGGGGCGGAGGCCGAGGCCAGGGCTGCGCCCAGGGCGCCGCGGAGGGCGCGCGGACTCCGAGCGAGTCCAGAGGACCGCGCTGTCCCCGGCCGTCACCTCAGGTTCCGCTCGGGCACCGGCGGAGGCGCGGCGACCCCAGTCCCGCCGTCTGCCCGCCCACGTTACCTCCCCGCAGCCTCGCTACTACCGCAGCGCGCCCGGCCGGGCTCGGCCGTGGCCCACTTCGGTGCCCGCCGCTATGGCAGGGGCGCCCGGCACGGGGGAAATCTAGTCCCGGGCTTTTATGAGGCCTAGCTTGGTTGTGTCTCGTCCCCCGCGGCCGAGGCCCCTGCCCATAGACTAGCCCCATTCCGGGCCTCCGTGTCTCTCCTGTGATCGCGCTGACACGGCCCGGAGGTTAGAATGGAACAAACTGAAGGTAAAGTGCGCTCGCGTGTGTGAGAGTGTGTGTGTGCGCGCGTGTCGCGAGGAAGGACACGGTGGGGAGGGGGCGATTTAGGAATAGGGCAAGGGTGAAGGGGTGACCCTGAGAGGGGAGGAGACTGGGTGCCCCGAAAGGTTCCTGGGGAGTCTAAAAGGAAGAGCAGATGGCAAGGTGCGGGTGTGGAGGGAATCGGGGGGTGGGGCAGGGGAAGCCAGGTTGGGATGAGGGTTGTAGTGGCGCTATCTGGGAATTGGGAGTAGAGGTGGGATGGGGCGGGGATAAAGATGAGAAAGGGGAAGGGGCAGGGGATGGGAGAAGAGTTAGGTTTGTAGATTAGGGACCTGGGTGACAGCGAATTAAAGTGGTCTGGGGGTGGAATGTGGGAACCAGGAGACGGGGTGAGGGTACAATGTAATGGGGAAACGGGATATCTTTGGGGAATCAACGGAGAAATGAAGGAATTGAAAGTGGAGGAAAAGATGGATTAGAAAATAAAAGGATGGGAAATGATTGAAGCAGGAGGCAACGGAAAGGTTTGAAATAGACCCAGGAAACTGGAAGACACAGAATTGGGTTAGGAGAGTCAATTAACTGAATGTTGAAAGGGTGAGAAGGATCGACCAAGCGTCACGGATTGGGGGGAAAAGAAGGGGATGGAGGTTGTTAAAGTGTTAGAAGGAATGCCTTTTGTTCCTGTATTTCTGTGTATTCCTGCCTTTTATTTCAAGGCTAGAGAAGAGAAGCTAGTGGATATGGTTGTGATTATTGTGAAATGGGGGAGGTGTGGGTGTTACTGTTTTGCGGGAAGAGGAGATGTGTTTGTGTTATGGAAGGAAGACAGAAACATGGCCATAATTTGATGGTTTTGGTGAGGGAACGAAGACTATCCCGATTTAAAGGGGGCAGGGGCAGCCATGTTTGCTGCCAGATACTGCAGTGTAAATAAATTCCTTTTCCTCTCCGACATCAGTGTGAATCTGGAGGGGACTAGCTTACATTGTAAACCCCCCTTCTTTCTATTCATGAACTCTTTCCCCTTACCTCTTGGGCCATTTGCAATTATTCATAACCACCAAAGGAGGTAGTGATGTTTTCCATCTTGGATGTTTTGCTGTTCTCCCTTTTTTCCTCTTCTGGTTGCAAACAAGGCATACTGATGAACTGCAGTGTAAGATTTAACCTTTTTGTAAATTTAAAACTAGATTTATTTTTTTAAAGCTGAAGTAATTGTTACTACTGTTCCCATTTCAAATGTGATCCTTAAAAGTCTTTTAAATATTGATTGATTTCAAAAGCCTCAGAAGCAGTCAACTTGTTTTCTGCAATTCTTTAAGTAAACAAGGAAATTGCATGGCTTATTTTACTTGGGGCTGTGCTCTTGGCAAAACACTGTGTGTGTGTGGGGGGAGGAGTAGGAAGATCTGCCTGTGGTAGATTACCCTTTTGCTGTATTTTTGCATGTTGGAAAATTAAAAATGTGTGTATTTAAAAATACTGTTTATGACACTTCCTGTTCATAGGTGGTGGGTGTATTAAGGATTGTGCTTTTTTTTTTTATTTTTTTTTTTTATTGAACTCTTTCCTTCATTTCTTCTTGCTTTCACATAGCTAGCTCGATACAGTCTCCAAATGCCAGTTCAGCACAGTACAGTGATCTATGAAGTAGGTATACAGTTCTTAGAGCTTCATTGAGTTGCCAGTTTTGTTTGTTTGTTTTTCTCTTAAAGTCAGGTCACTGAGTAAAGCTACAGAGTATCTCTTTAATGTATTCAAATGTAACTACTTGTATGGTTTAAAAGTTACTGTTCTAGGGCCAGGGAGATAGCTCAGTGGAATAAGTGCTTGCTCTGCAATCACAAACGTAAAATAATAATAATAAAACTAAAAAGTTACTATTCTAAAAGCTTAAAGCCTGATACATTTACAGTAGATGAATAGGTATTAGAGTGTTTTCTTTTCATATTGGAAAAGATTAAAAATGTATGATCTTTTATTTTTGTTTTATATTTGTAATGGGTTAATCCAGACTTTAACCCATCCCATTGATACCAAAACTACTTTCTACATTCCTGTTGAAATTGCAGTATGGTAGACTCAATTCACTTGTACTGCATACTGTTTTTGTTTTTTTTTTTATCCTAATAGTAATGTCCTGTCTGTTGTAGAGATGATATTTTCACAGATATGTTCTTGGTTTGTTGTACAAATTAAATTGAAAATTGACAGAACAGTACTTTCTGAGAGTATTCTTAGGATAAAGACTAAATATAATATTTGAGTATTTTGACACAATAATATTTAGCTTGAATTTTTTTAAGTTCTACAAGGACAAGTTCCACTCCCAAAAAGCCATTCTCTATGTTTTATTGGAATTTATATTTATGGAGATTTCTTATTTACATTTTTCCATTTAGTGGACATTATTTTGATGATTCGGTAAATTATGTGCATGAACTACCAGAGCTATGCTTTTTAGGAAAATGACCATTGTATATTAAAATAGAAGAATCATGTTGGCAGAACCGGGGATTGAACTCAGAGCCGTGTGCTTGCCAGGGAAGTGCTTATTCCACTGAGCCATCTGCCATCTCCCCCACCCCCAAGAATCATGTTGGAAGCCTGAATAAGCTGCCATGAGTGTTCTGATTCCCAGGACAGGACTCCACTTAATAAGACTGGTTAGACACCTACAACCCCAACTGTCTTCTAATTATCACTTGCTACTTGTGATAACTTCCATTTTTAAATGTATATTAACAAATGCTCTTTAGCTGATCAGATCAAATGGATTTTGAATAAAAGAAATTGATTGTCAACAAGATTGATGACCATTGAATCAATTGTCAAGTCTGGTTCTACTGACAGTAGTCTCTAGAATTTAAAATAATATTCATGATAATCACAGTAGTAGCTGCCAACATTTGCTATCTTCTTTTCTTCTTACAGTATTCTATGCTCTATGTCTTTCTTTTCTTT